AAGCCGGCGCTGCCACTCCATCTCGTTGTGCAGGAAGGAGGATTGGTGGAAGAAGTCGCTCACTTTGCTGCCCTGCTCATCCTGCTCCGTGGTGGTGAAGAGCCGGTGCTTGGTCTCCTCTGTCAGGAACTGGCAGATGCCGGGCACGGGGAACACGATCTGCTCCATGCTTCGGTCTTGCCGCACAATCTGATTGGTCAGACGACGCCTGGTCACACTGGGCAGAGGCCCTCAGCGCCCCCAGCTCACGGCCAGGGTCCCCGCTTTACCTCGATCTGTGAGGTGTGGCTCTCGTAGTAGGCCAGAGGGTCCTCCTCCTCCTCCTGGGCGGGCGCGGAGGGCTTGAGCATCTGGGACAGCTGCTTGTTGTTGAGGCTGAGCTGGGGGCGGAGGCGGGAGCACTGGGTAAGCCCTGCAGCCCTGAGTGCTGCTCCCAGGGGCGAGCCTCGGCCAGCCCCGACCACACCCACTCAACCACGCTAGGGGAGTTGGCGCCCACTCCAGACCAGCCCCAGATGTGAGGTCTTGCTTTTGATTCCGTGTCATGGCTACAGTACCATACCCTAGACCAGCTGCAAGCCCCAGCCACAGACGCTAGCCTGGCTCTCAGATCCAAGCTCACTTGGTTCTAGACTGGCTTCCGATGACAGCAGCTGCTCTACCTGCTCCTTGTTCATCTCATTCTCACAGAACTGTCTGTCACTCCTGCCCTTGGGTCACAGCTCTGTGCCCACAGACACCAGTCCTTCCAGCTCCACCCCAAACCTCACCCCTGCCGTACCAAGAAAGATGCCCCAACCTCACCCCTGCCGTACCATGGAAGAGATGCCCCAACCTCACCCCTGCCGTACCATGGAAGAGATGCCCCAACCCCTCACCCCTGCCGTACCATGGAAGAGATGCCCCAACCCCTCACCCCTGCTGTACCATGGAAGAGATGCCCTCTGCCTCCTCCTCCTGGATGCGCTTCACGGGCTTCAGCAGGTGCTGCAGCTGCTTGTTGTGCCTGGAGAGCTGCAGATGACAGCACCACACAGCTCCAGCAACGCTTCAGAGGGCCAGGGGCAGGGGCAGGGCCAGGGGCAGGGCACGGCTTGTACCTGAAGCGCCAGGATGTAGATGTTGTGGCCCACCTCACGTGGGCTCACCTCGGAGTTCTCCCTCTCCTCCTCCTGCAGGTAGGCCTTCTTGATCACGTCCACCTGGGGACAGCAGTACTTGCTGTGACGCTGATCCCCCGGGGCGGTGGCCCCTTGCCCTACACCACCCAGCCGCTCGGTCCTCTCCTGCCGCCCCGTCCTTACCAGCTCCTGAGGCCGCAGGCTGATAAGGATGCGCTCCGCATTCTCACTGTCATGCCTACTCTCCATCAGAGCCAGGAGCAGCTTAGAGGCATTGTCCTGCGGGGATGCACAACAGAGCCCCGTTACGGCCCTTAACCTCCTCCCGACTTTGCTCCCAGACACTGGCATGCTGAGACTACAGGCCACCCTTACCCACCCCGAGCAAACATGTTGGAGGCAGTCCCCAGGGGAACCCAAGATGAGTGTGATGTCTGTTCACACACGTATTCCTGTGTAGCCAATGCTACAGAAGAGGCCCCCACACACAGCACAATGCCACACCTGCTAAGCGCCCTGGTCACTCACACACAGCACACACTTCACACGCACAGCGCGACACTCATGGCGGGGCCCCACCTTGAGCTGCAGCACCAGGTCCATGCGGTACTTGCAAAGCGGGCTGATGTCATTGAGAATCAACGCCGTGATGATGTCGATGCCATTGGATTCGTGAGTAACAATGCAGGTCTGGCAGGAGGCAGTGGGCGATGTAAGGGCCAGACGCACGCGAGTCGGGGTCTCCCTCGCCCCCACCCCCACGTCACCCCCACCCCCACCCCACCCCGAGCACCACCTCCACCATGAGGCTGCTCACCTGGTTCTCGTGACATGGGCCCTGGCAGTACTCTGTGAGGGTCTCTAAGGTCTGGGTGACCAGGCTCACGTTGTCCTCGTTGATGTAGAGCCCCAGCAGCCCCAGCCCCCCCGTGGTGCTGCCACACATGATGTCCAGGAACTGCAGGGTCTCACACACGAGGTTGTAGTTGGTCTTGTTGTTCTGACAGCGCAGGAAGTTCTGTGAAGCACAGGCGGGGTGGGCGTGGCACAGCGGTCATTCCCACCGCAAGGACATTGGTTGCGGTGGCTGATTGGAAGTGGGGACAGGGACAGGCAGGCATGGACAAGGCCCTCACCTGTAGGTCACGATTGTGGTTCTCACACAGCAGCTGCAGAAAACGCAGGATGGGCCGCATGACGAGCACGGAGGCGCCCATCTCATTGCTCTGCACACGCTCGCCCATCTCGTGCCCGCGGTGCAAGCTGGGGCCCAGTGAATAGCGGGAGGAGCTGGGCATGGAGAAGGAGGCCACACGGCCTGTGGGGCAAGACTTGACTAAGGCCAGGGCTCCCGGAAGCCCCTCCCTACCAGTGAGACCCCCACACGCCGTGTCTGCCTGAGGCGCAACCTTTAGTGGTAGGGTCTGCTGGCTCGCGGTCCTCACGAGGTTGGCTGCCCAGGTCGCTCATGTTGACGGCAACTGTGGACTTGGTCTCCTGCTGGGCTCGCTTCATGCGGTCGTGCAGCACCCTGAAGAAGCGCTCGGACTTCTTGTCGCTAGTCATCAGGTTGTAGAAAGATTTCTGGGGGGGGAGGGGGGAGCAGCTCAGCTCTGTGCCCAGCGCTGGGTGGCTGTGGTGAGGCCTCAGAAACCCTAACCTGACCTCGGGTGTGGTGAGTGGACGCCATCCTAACCCTAGGAGGTGGCAGCAGGGGGGGTCAGGTCATCCTCGGCTGCTTACCGTTCTGAGTGCACCACCCACTGCAGAGGAGCCTGGGAGACACAGGTACCCGGAGATGGGGACTGGGCATGGGCTTGGTACCCAGCAGTTAATGGGGAAGGCCAGCCTGCCATGACCACAGTGCAGGGGTAGGGTGCGGAACATTCTAGGCTGCTGTCTGCCAAGGCCCCGTTAGCCACTGGCTCCAGGAGCTACTCCACAGTGCAGCCAGAGGGATCCCTTGGATGCCCAAGTCCTGTTCTGCCTGTGTCCTTTCCAAAACACAGGTGTCAAGAGGACACGGATTTCTCTCTCTCAGAGCTGACTGCTTGCTCATTGTCAGTGACAGTCTGATGTTCGATGCTGAATATGCAAATGTGGGCGTAGGAATGAATGAGTGAGTGAATAGGATTAATGAGTGAATGAATGAATGGGGTTAGAGGAGTTGGACTCCAGAGCTGAGGATGGAGGAGAGGCGGCAAGGAAGAGGCAGGCCCGGATGAGGGAACGGCTGCACAGATTCGGAAGTTGGAATGCACCGCCCTTTGCACCCGGCACCCAGGCCTGCAGCCGCAACGCCACCAGGGGCGAGGGTGGGCGCTCTGCTCCCAGCCACACCTGGATCTCCGTGTTGCCTCCGTCCAGCAGGCGGATGGCCAGGCCGATGCTCTCCTGGAAGATCTTCTCATTCTTGGTGCTGGTGATGAGGTCGCAGACCAACTTGGTGGCCCCCTCCTTGTCCAGCCGGCACTGGGTGGCTGCGATGGCTGACCAGTCCTGGTCCAGGCCTGGGGGAGAAGCTTGCATGAGAGACGGGCTGGAAGCAGGAGCCGGCCGGGCAGGGCGGGGCAGGGCGGGGCTGGTCCGTGGCACTGACCGGAACCTGTGGGGTCAGGGAGCTCGCCCCGGGAGCTGGACTTGCGGTTCTGGAGGTAATTCTGCAGCAGCATCTTCCGCAGCTGGTTGCCCTGGAAGGCCGAGGCCTTTGGTGAGCGCCGCCCTGCACCCCAGCCCCGCTCCAGCCCGTGGTGCGCACACTCACCCGGTCCCCGTACTTGTTCTTCTTCAGGAGCATCTGCTGCAGCGTCCGCAACACCTTCACACACAGCTTCTCCTCGGACTCCATGAGGCCCTTCGTGTGACGGATGAGCCTGGAGTGGAGGCGGAGAGAGGCTTAGGGCGCCAGCTGCCTCAGCGCAGCCCTGGCCCCCTGCTTCGGGGACACTGGGTGCCCGGCCCAGCCCCAGGTCCCCACACCCCTCCCCCAGCTCACTTGGACAGGAAGCCCCCACTCTCGCAGCGCTGGTAGGCCTCACTGCCCTCCAGAAAGAGCAGCTCAGGCCAGTGCAGCATGTCCACCAGCACAGAGAGCTCAGCCTGCACCAGAGGCTTCAGCCGCTCTTCCAGGGCCGTGATGATGTCCTGGGAGGGAGGGCAAGGTCACCACCGGGCTCACGGTGGCCAGGGTGTGTCCATATCCCATCCCCCTAACTATACACCGCCTGAGGGGCAGCAACCCCCTCCTCCCCAGAACAGGCAGCCACGCCCACCTGCAACTTCTCAATGATGTTCTTGTAGTCCCACTGGTTGGCGGTGGGGATGACACGGGGGAAGGTCCTCGTGGCCGTCTTATAGTTGGCAGCAGTACGCTGGGCTGCGGCTGCACAGCTGCCCCCGCTGCTGAGCAGAGCACTCATGTGGGCATCCAGATCCATGGGCAGCAAGATGGCCCGGCTCTTAGCTGCAAGGGAGGCAGCGCCAGAGGCCAGGGTGGAGTGGATGGCTGGGCCAGGCTCAGGCCGCCATACAGGGGCAGGGAAGAGGGGGCAGACCAGAGCGGGGCAGGGATGAGTGTCATCTGAGCCCCTATTGGACATTCTGCCCAGCCACCAGCCACAGGGCACCCCGTGCCACCTCCTGCCTGGGTCCCTTTCCCAAGACACAATCAGCAAACGGAAGTAAGAGCAACTCTAGCAGGAGGTAACCACCCTGGGTGACACTCACGCCCAGGGAGACGGTGGCCGGTATGTGGCCGGTGTCCCCAGCAGGGGACACCGGGAAAGGTCCAGGGATACTCACCCACCATGGCGAGGGTGCGGACACACGCCTCCACAGAGCCCTTGTGCTGCTGCTGCAACCAAGGACACTCGAGCAGCCGCGTGGTGGACTGCAGCAGCTGCACCACAATCGTCTGGTGTGTCTGCGGGAGACAGAACCCAGAGGCAGCTCAGCTACCCCAGCCGGGGCACGGCCCACGAGCCTCACTACCGTGGTAAGTATGCCTTTGGTCCAGACAGAAAACCACCAGGTCCTTTAGCACTGAGCCGTCCCTGAACGTACGGCCGCCATGTGAGAACTCCCCTCAGCCCAGGCCTGGGCTCACAGCCATGCTGGTCACCTTTTCCTTCCTTTGAAATGACTGTGAGGAAAGCGCTGTGTGTGCATGGTTCAGAAGCGGAGTCTGGCTCGGCTACCAGCACCCACATCTGACCCCTCACAAGTGCCTGAACCCCAGCTCCAAGAGACCCAGTGCCCTCTTCCTGCCCCTCAGGCACTCACACACACGCACACTACAGACACACTTAAAAAAAGAAAAGACTGAACGTGGTGGCACACGCCTTTAGTCCCTGCTCTCAGCAGACAGAGGCAGGCGGATCTCTGGGAGTTGACCCAGCCCCCAAAACCAAAAAGTTCAATTTAAAACCAACCAAACAAACAAAAAAAAAAAAACATGAAAGAACCAGGCGGTGGTGGCGCACGCCTTTAATCCCAGCACTCGGGAGGCAGAGGCAGGGGGATCTCTGTGAGTTCAAGGCTGGGCTGGACCGACAGCCTCCAAAACAATACAGAGAAACCCTGTCTCGTAAAAACCAAAAAAACAAAAATCATAAAAGAAAAGATACACTTTGAGCCATCAAGTTAGCTTCACAGGTAAAGGTTTGTGTCATGCCAGCCTGGTAACCTCAATTTGCTTTCTAGAACATAGGGAAGGGTAGAAGGGGCCTGACTCCACAGCATGTGTCCTGACCTCCATATGTTCGCTCACACACACACACACACACACACACACACACATGCACACTCACACATTCACACGCACACACACACACAGTAATACATTCTAAAGGTCTATTTTAAATTCTGCTTTATCCCATCCTGTAGCTAGTCTGAGGCTGGGGGGAGAGGAACATATACAATTTTTTTTGAGACAGGCTGGCCTTGAACTCAGAGACCCACCTGCCTCTGCCTCCTCAGTGCTGTGAAAAAAAAGGCTTGCGCCACCACACCCAGCCAGACAAAAATTCTCATTCTCTTTGTCTTAAATGTACATCAAAGCTACTTCACCCTTTCTGCACCTAACCTTTTTTCCTTTATTTATTTATTTATTGAGATGGGGCCTCACTATCACTGTGTAGCTTTTACTGTTCTGGGACTTACTGTGTAGAACTGACTTTGAGCTCACGGAGATCTACCTGCCTCTGCCTCTGCCTCTGCCGAGACAAGGCGTGCAGCACCACGCTGGTGTGCCTAACCTTCTATTTACTCTTCTCAGAGAACCTATGGCGCCACTCCCACTGGGTTCTCCTCCATCCTCGGTGTCTATAGTCTATGCGGTCCTCTGAGCCTTCCTCAGGGAGACCTGGGACTCTGGTTAAGGCTGGAAAGCATCTCTGCTGGGCTCTCCGTGACTTGGGTCAGCCCCTGCACAGGATGTCAGTGAGTCACAGGGCTGCCCGCCCGCCCGCCCGCCCAGCACCACGGACAGTGCAAGGGCTCTGTGAGCAGTCCTCCCAGATCTCAGGCTCTGCTGCTGTCCCGAGCACCTCACCACCCCGGGTCCTACACACCAGCTGGACTGACTGAGGGATTCCTGTGTCAATCTTGCCAGCCCTGTGGGACTGCGTGGAGTCAGTGGAGAGTGTGTCCATGGGGTTTCCAGAAGGTGGAAGACCAATCCTAAACATAGCTGCCCCCACCCATGGGTTGGCTCCGCCTGATAAGGAGAAAGTAACTGACAGCCAGCATTCACTGTTCTCTGCTTCCTGACTGGTGAAGTGTGACCCATGCTCCTGCTGCCAGGCTGGACTGTACCCCTCAGACAGACAGCCTCCCCCATAATTCCTTAAATTGCTCCTCGTCGGTTACTTTGTATCATTTCCACGTCGTTCCCAGCACACACTGGGGCCGCTTGTTACACAGCAGACAACTAATGCACTGTATGGAGCCGCATCTTCACGTGCTCATGCGAGCAAGGCTGTGCTCCCCGGGAGAGCCAGCCTGAGAGGCCATGCTTGGCCGTGGGGGCTGCTCACCTGCAGCGACGTGCTGTTCTCTGAAAACGGGGAGCTGAAGAAGGCGCTGATGGTGTCCAGCACCACGGTGAGCACGTACTTCTCCAGGGTGGGGTCCGCCAGGCGCTTCTCCCGTTTGTTGCAGACCAGAGCCATGTCCAGGGTGAAGTTCTCAAAGAGCGTCCAGATGTGGTTGCTGGTGTAGATCTCCTTCATTTCCACCTCGGTGTCCACGTAGCAGTGATTCACGAAGTTCACGTACGCCATTTTCACCTGGGCAGCGGGCGAGGTATGTCAGCATACCTGCCCAGGCTCTGCCCTTCATGTGTCCCTCCGCACAGCCCCAGGGTGCACACCTCCGTGATGCAGTCCTCATGGGTCACCACAGACACCACGTCCTCCAGAGGCAGCAGGGAGGTGCACTTGATCTCTGTGTAGACATTCTTGCCTTCAGCACAGGCAGCCAGCAGGTCCACCAGGGAGATGTGGTACATGAGGGGGCTGTGGTCCTCCACGCCATCCCGGGCTGCCTTCATCATGTCCAGGAGATGGGCCAGAGAGGCCTTGTCATTGTAGAACACCACCACGTCGTCACCCGCATTGGTCAGCTGTGATGGAAGGCAGGTGCCAATCAGAACCCCCGGCCAGCAGCCCCAGGAACCACCCCTCGTCAGGACGAGCTGAGACCGCGACCCCAACTATGGCCTGACACCCGTGCTGAAAGTTTGGGGTTTGTTTTGGGTGTCTGAAACAGTTTCATGTAACCCGGGCTAGCTTCGAGATCACTATGTAGCTGAGGATAACTTTGAACGTGTTTTTTAACTGCTGGTTTTTATTTATTTTATGTACATGGGTGTTTTGCCTGCATGTATGTCTGTTCACCATGTGTGCAGTACCCACAGAGGCCAGAAGAGGGCGGCGGGTCCCTTGAACCTAGAGTTACAGATGGGCATGAGCCAGTGCTGGGAGTTGAACCCAGGCCCTCTGAAAGAGTACAGGCGGCGCTCTTAACTGTGGAGCCGTCTCTCCAGCCTGACTGAATCCTTGATCCACATCAGCCTAAGTGCCGGGGTCACAGGTGAGCGCCACCTTGCCTGGCTTCCTGCCTACGTTTTGGGGTTCCATGGCTGATGTGTCCAGCCTTCTTCCATCTGAGACCTTGGCCCTGGATCCAGAAAGTGTCGGAACCTTCTCAGCCTCCAGAGTGTTCCCCAGACTGAGGCATGTTCCACCTCTCTCTCCAAAGTGGACACTTAAAGCCGGGGCATCTCCCGTGACATCCCTGTCGGTCCCTGTCCGCCCCCAGCCCACCGTGAGATGCTTCTGGGAACAAACCTCCCAGCCTGGGATCAAGCTCAGCCCGTTCTCCATGTTCCCACAGTGCACCAGGCCCAGAAGCCCAGGCTCTCCTCCCTGGCCCCCCGGGACACGCCACCCGGCTCCCTGTAGCCCAGGCTGCCCTCACCTCGGTCATGATCATGTCCTGGCACTTCTTCACGTACTTGCCCTCGGCCTTGATGACGGTGTGCAGGAAGTCCAGGTACTGCACGTGGCGCCCGTGCGTGGCCAGCAGGTGCACGAAATGCTGCAGCACGGGCTCGCTGATCTCGGAGCACAGCTGGTAGTTGTTGAGGAAAATGTGCTGCATGGTCTCGGCCTCCAGGAGCTGTGGTGGGCACGGGGTCCATGAGGGAGGAAGGCCCACCAGAGAAGGGCGGGGCCCATCAGAGAAGGGCAGGGGCCACCAGAGAAGGGCGGGGCCACCAGAGAAGGGCGGGGCCACCAGAGAAGGGCGGGGCCCATGGGGACCTCACCCCAGGTGTGAGAAAGAGCTGAAGGTGTTTGTGCAGCAGGGCCTGGTTGCCAGGGTTCCCGGCGCAGAACTTCTGCAGGAACTGGTGTGTGTAGCGCAGGATCTCCAGCATCTTGTTGTCACCCTGCAGAAAGAGGCTGCTGGGCCACCAGGGGGACAGGCCCGGGGTGGCTGAAACGGTCCCTAGGGTGGGACAGGCCCGGGGTGGCTGAAACGGTCAGGATCCAATAAGCCGCTAGGCTGGGGTTAAAACGTGCAGGGAATGGGGGGCGGGGAGGGCTTCCAGGAAGTTCAATTGGGAAATGGCCTCCGTCAGACTGCTCTGTGAACAAGTCTTTGGGGCATTTTCTTGGTTAGTGATTGTTAAGGGAGGGCCCAGCCGGCTATGGGGCGTGCCATCCCCGAGCAGGTGGTCCTGGGCTGTGAAAACAGCTTAGTGAGCCAAGCTGGGAGAGCCAGGGGAGACAGCAGGCAGTCCTTTCACGGCCTCGGCTTCAGTTCCCGCCCCTTCCCTGCCCACTTTACGATGGGAGAGCGAACCTATACGCTCCCTGTGTGCTGAGATTACTTATATGACGCCCTCCCTCTCCAAGATGCTCTGGATCATGGTCTCTCTTACAGCAGTAGAAATCTAACTAGGACACTGCTCTAGCCTCGGATGAGCTGGGTTTGATCCCTAGAACCCATGCAAAGGTAGAAAGAGATGAGCCTTGTCTCCTGCACACACCCTGGTACAGCACACACATTAAGTGAAAGTCGGGTGCAGCCTGATGCCTGCAGGGTCATCTCAGGGGCCTGGAGCGAGGACCCTCCACTCCCAGCACCCAGAGGGCTCGTAATCACCTATGAATTCCATCTCCAGGGGATCTGACACTCTTCTGGACTCTGAGCATGTGCACATATGCACAAATATTCAAAAAGAAAAGATCAGCCCGTGTGAGGGGCTGAGGGTCAAAGGTCGACAGAGGCTACATGAGGGGAAGGACAAGGCACCATGACATTGGGATAAGGAGCTCGGGGTCAAAGGGCCGGAATCGGAACTCTTCCCTAGTGCTCCAACCCTGTAATACAGTCGTGGTGACCCCAACCATAAAATTTTCATTGCCACCTGGTTGTAAGTTTGCTGTTATGAACCATAATGTAAATATCTGTTTTACAATGATATTAGGTGACCCCTGTGAAAAAGTCATTCAAACTACACACACACACACACACACACCTGCCCGCTGGCCAGCCCACCCGCGGGTTTAGAACCATTGGCCCAGATGGAGCTGACAGGCAGCATAGCCCAGAGGAGGGGAAGGAGGCTGGGGTCATCGTTAAGCCTGGGGGTCAAACTCAAGGGCTGTGTAGCTCAGTGGAAGAATGTTTGCCCTTACTTGAGTCAGGTTCTGGGTTCAATGCCCCGCACCGTGGGATGGGGGGATCACAGCAGATCAAAGTGAGGACAAATCAGGGTGTGGGGAGTGCTGAGGGCTGTCACCTTGTCGTAAGGGATCTGCAGCAGGTCCAGCATGACCTTGTGGGCGTCCATGTTCTTCAGTAGCCTCTGCTGCTTCTTCCTCATCTGTTCCCCGACCCCGCACATCTTGTTCAGCCTCTCCAGGATCTGCAGGGGGACGGGACGTGGGAGCCGTGTGCCTCCTGCTCCTCAGAACCCCCTCTCTGCCTGCTCAGCTGCAGCCACGCCCATTCCCCCGGGGGACAGGAGAGGGGAAGGACTCCGGGCTGTGCTGCTGACCCAGGCCACCCTGGCAAACCAGCAGAGCGCTGAGATGCCATCCCACCCGTAAGCGCACAGCGGCACGGCTCTAAAGTGGGGTCTCATTAAATTCCCAAGGCTTTAAGGTAACTATTGGGGCCTCGGTGGGGCTATTCAGAACAGGCCAGAAAGCTGGGGATGTCTGGCTGCAGGGCCCAGAGGGAACTGAGAGACGCCAGGGCAACGGGAGCCCCATCTGAGTCAAGTCGAAGCCAGCTGGGGGATACCCCACCCATACCCCACCCACCCACGCCCCTGCCACTCACGCCCTTGACAATCTGGTAGTTCTCACTGCTCTTCTCCCCGTGTGGCTGGAGAAACCCCTCCTCATCCGTGGGTCGCTAAGGACGCAGAAGATGGAGTCAGCCCGGCCCCCTCACTTGGGGGCACCCTGCTTGGCTCCCGGAAGCCTGCTCACCTCCTTCTTGTCCTTGGCGGCGCCCGCCTCCCCCTCCTCGCCCTTGACACTGCCCTTCTTGTCCACCCACAGCTCGGACTTCTCCACCATCGTCCGCAGCCGGTCCAGCTCTGACTTGATCACCTTGTAGTTCTCAACATCCTGGGCTGAGATCAGCAGCTGGACCTGCACAGGGAGGGTGTGACCATGCGGCGTATGTCCCCGGATTGCTGTCATGCCTGGAACTACAGCGCCCACCTAGACCAGACCCCCCCCGCCCCCCGCACACAAGCGTCACTTCTGCCTCCATCTTTACAGCCCCCTCCTCCAGGAAGCCTGCACTCCTGCCCAGTTACTCAGACTCCTGTCACACACCACACACCACACACTGGTCCACTCAGATGCCAAACAGGCAGGGGAGAGCACTGGAGGTCACTGAACCCTGGGCGAAGGAGGGACCTGGGACTTTAAGGACGCGGGCCTGCATGGGGTCCCTCCTCCCCCCTCACTGGGCCTATGTCCTCTTCTCACGGGGGCTGAGAGCGGTGTCACATACTGAGGGAGCTGGGGGAATTCTGGGGAACCAGTGCAAACCAGTACATGAGGAGCACTCGCTAAATGCCAGCCCTGATCGGCAGGCATCTCACAAGAGGCTGTCAAGGGGGCATGACGCCACAGCGACAGACACCAGGCAGCTTGGTGAGGGATGTCTGCAAGCCAGACTTGGGAGGGGATGATCAGCAAAGGTGTGCCCAGCTGCCCACTCTCAAGTGGTGTCCTCAACATAGTGAGTTAGGCCAGGAGGTGGCACAGGTGGCGGAGACTGGATCCTCCCCTGAAGGATCTCAACAAGGCTGAAAGCCCTTACGTGAGGCCCGGCACCCCTGCCAAGCTGTGAGGGGCTGGGTCACTGTGTGCCAGGGTCCACGGCCCAGGAGCCGGCAGGCGGCCCCCTCTCACCTGCTTGAAGGTGTGCATGGCCTCCTGGCGCTGGCTGAAATGCTTGAAGAGCAGTTGCAGGGCGCCGGAGACAAGCGGTGCGTAGTCATGCATGGTCAGGTGCAGCAGCACCCGCAGAAACATGCGGCCACCCTCGTCGTCCACCTCCAGCATGCTGCTGGTCTTCCTGCCGGCACGGGGGGGGGGGGGCAGGGAATTGCAGCGGAGCAGCGCCACTCCAGTATCTGCCCTTTCCCACCCGTGTGCAGAGAACCACTGCCCCCACCGGGGCATCCGCTATCTCCTGCTCGAGGATAGCCCTCCGCCAAGCCCCTGATGCAGGAACCCTTCGTGAGGGATCCTCCCCCACCCCCCACCCCCACCGAGGGCATGAGGAGACATCTCTTCCTTCAGGGAGAGAATGCAGCTGAGCCTGGGGGTTGCCGCCAGTAAGAATCACAGACACTTTCCCGTCACCTCGGAGCTGTTACTGTACGTTGTGAAATACCATTTATGTGCGCCACTAGCTGGAGTCACCGCTAATTACCCCCACCGGCGCAGCTGCTACCTAACGCGCTAATAAAGAGTCACACGCGTAGCGGCCACTTCCGACTTGTTGTCTTGGGCCTTTTGGTAACTGTTCCAGGGCCGTTTCCCTTGTAAATTCACGAGCTTTGCTTTACCAATCTATTCTGAACCACTCTGCTGCGGTTTATTTTTTTTGAGCAGGATCCCATGTAGCCCAGGCTGGCCCCGAACTCCCTCTATATTGAAAGGTGCCCTTGGGCTTCTGACCCCTCTGCCTCCACCTCCTGAATGCTGGGGTTACGGGCGTGCGGCGTCACACCTGCTTCATTAGTTCTGGGGGTCAGTGCCAGATAAGCAGCGCCTGCCCTATGATTCCCAGTGGAGTTCTGAGGAGCGGTCACTGACTATGTCAGACACCAAGGAAGGCTGGCACCCGATGGCAGAGGCTCTGAGTGACACGTCCACTCCAGCAGCCCCCCCCCATCTCGCCCTGCTGTGTGCCGGGACAGCTGCCCAGCCACCTGCCCTGGGCTCTGCTGAACAGAGGCGCAGCTGCGCTGCATGAAGGTGGGAATTACCACAGCGACTAGGACCTGGAATGACCCTATGCCACGAGGGATGGGCAAGCCAGGGAGGGTCAGCTTGTAGCTGGGCAAGGGTCCCCTGGAGGACATGGTGGAGGGAATGGCCAGTCCTCAGCCTCAGGGGACCCAGGTTGTCCAAAGAGGGGTAACGTCAAGCCTTATGCAGATGACCTGCCCCCAACCCTGCCGCTGAGCCCCTCAACCCCAGCCTCACCCCACTCCAAACATGGCCTCTGCCTGCTCCCCGATGCGGTCCAGATTCATGTTGGCAGCTGTGGGAAGCAGGAGTGACAGAGACATTGGAATAGAACCTGGGGTATGGGGGAATCCAAACCAGCCCCAGACGCTCCTGCAGCCCCTCAGCCTCCCCGCCTCCCCCGCCCCTGTGAGGGTGCAGAGCACCCAGGCTGAGAGCACATGGAAGCCCAGGCCGTGGCCAGGGGCAGGACTGTGTATGACCTTAGTCAAGTCCCTGGTTCCCCACTTAGGAAGGGTCCCTGCCCTGCTCCTTGCTGTGGCAAATGTGTCTGGGGAGTGGGAAGGCTGGGCTGGGGAGCTGCAGACAGAGGAGCGGGGACAGAAAACATGGGTGGTGACAGAAACCAAGACTCACTGGTGGAATCGAAGGCGGGTGCCGTGCCGTCAGCCCCGCTGTCCTGCATGGGAAACACCTCCACGAATTCCTTCTTGAAGACCGACAGCAGGTAGGAGATGCGGTAGTCCAGGCGCACGTTGAGGATGAACTAGACAGACAGGCAGGGGAAGATCAGTCTCCGGGAGCGCCGCTGCTCAGCAGGGCTGAGGGGACCCCAGAATGGGCTCTGGCACCCTGCCACTCAAGATGCTCCAAGGCTTAGAAACAGCAGTGCTCGCCCAGCTCCTGGACCAGCGACTGTGGCTGGCGCCGCCTCTCAGCATAAAGACAGTGAGCCCCCCAGCTGATGCTCAGTCCCCCCCACAACACCCCAGGCCAGACAATGACAGGAAGTGCACAGAAGGCCAAAGGGTCCTTTCCGCCACACAGCCCTCTCCAGGAGGGACACCAGGTACAAAGACAGGGCTTGGGAACCCATGACCAAGCTCTGTCTTCATGGGGCAGAAACCCACCTCACCCCCATGCCCTCATCGAGACACCATTAACCCTCTCCGCCCCGCCCCGCCCCCTCCCACCCACCTGCCCAGCACCTGCAGGATCTCCAGGATCTTCAACTTGGTCTCCATCACCACAATGTCTTCATTATCCTCAAACTTGCTTCTGTCCAGCGGCTCGGGGACGCCCGCTCCGGCAGGCAGGCCGGAGGCACCAAAGACAGACTGCTTGCGGCTCAGCACCATAGTAGACATCATGTGACCCACACCCTGGATGGATCTCCGCACGTTCTTGCCTGGGGGTCACAGAAGGGGATGTACAGCAGGGCTCCCAACCTCCTCGGGACAACTGCTAAGAAGGGACAGGGCTAACCCAGGCAAGCTTGGGGGGTGGGGTGGGAGGAGGCTTTATGCCAAGTCCGGGAAAACAATGGACCAAGCAAGGTAAAAGAATTCTCTGTGGGCTGGAGAGATGGCTCAGAGGTTAGGAGCACTGACTGCTCTTCCAGAGGTCCTGAGTTCAATTCCCAGCAACCACATGGTGGCTCACAACCATCTACAATTCAATCTGGTGCCCTCTTCTGGTATGTAGGCAGAACACTGTATATGTAATAAACAAATTAAAAAAAAAAAAAAAGAATTCTCTGTGCGAAGCTGAGAGCCACTACGGAGCATGAGGGGCTGAGGGGACACACTGTGCCAGCAATGCTGAAATCAGGGGCCAGGCCCCAGCACACGGGGACAGCTGCAGACTGAGAGCCCTAACCTCTCCACGCCCTGCTCCTGCTGGCTGGCCTGACCCTGTCACACTGTGGCAGGGCTTATCCCGCTCAACTTCAAGGCCAAGCAAGACCCCAGAGCACCGCAGCACCTGGGCCAGCAGGATGGAGGGGACTGGTGGCAGGGCTGGGAAGCGGGTAGCACCGGGGGGTGCCGCGAAGGAACTGAGGGGGCGGGGCCTCACCGCCAGGCTCCTCATAGGCCTGCAGCATGGCCGGGGGTGCCTGGACGCAGTCAATGATGCCCAGCAGCGTGCGTGTGAGCCGCAGCAGCTCGCTGAAGCTGTAGAAGCCGAAGTAGATGAGATTGTGCGCCAGGCTGACCACCTGTGGGGGTGGGGGCGGTGAGTGGGGCTGATGTTTGCAGAGGCGCGGCTTTGTGAAGGAAGAGACCAGTGCGTGCAGGGGTGTGACTGTGGGGGGTGGGGGGTCCTGTGGGGGGCAGGGCCAACACATACAGAGGTGTGGTTTGTGGTGTTAGACCGGGTGTACTTGTGGAGGGGCGTGGCTTTCAAGCTGGTGATTGTGGAGGGGGGGGAGAGGTTGGCTCTGCTGGGGTCCCAACAGATCAGAGAAAAACCGGGATGCAGGGGTGTGCGGGAGATGGAATTCCCCAGGAGGGACAGGAGGGCCTGGGAAAGGCTGCCCCTGGCTGACGGGTTGAGTGGACCCCGGAGAATCTGCCCACTGGGGAGCCTCTGCTATCTACGTGACCCTCCCATGGTGGGCTGAGGTCACCAGGAAAACGGGGTCATGGATCCTACCACCCATCCCTGGATGCGGATCAAGGCGCACAGGGAGGGGCGCACCACAGCCCACCTCAAAGGTGAGTTTGTTCTTCTCCTCATTGGCGAAAGGCACGGCCTCGCTGACCACATTGTTAAGGTAATCTTCCACAAACTCCATGGTGCTGGCGAATTTGTTTTTCTTGTCGTCCCGGGTGGCGTTGAGATTGGAATCATAGCTGGAGACGGAAGCAGGAGGCATGAGGGCCCGTGCCCCGCCCCGCCCCGCCCCCAGCCCTGCCCTGCCCCGCCCCCGCGCCCCGCCCCCAGCCCCACCCACCCTCCGGACTCACTCCTTGATGGTGATGGCTGTGGGGATCTCTGTCCAGAGGCGGGCGAACTTGACCGGCGTCACCAGCTCCTGGGGATCGCGGTCCACGTGCACGCGCAGCATCAGGTGGCAGAAGGAGGCGCGCAGGTCAAAGGGCAGCATCTCGTCCGCCATGCACAGGAAAAGCAGGTCCACGCCCAGCTGTTTGGAGATCTCGTCGATGGCCAGATACTGGCGGTCCAGGCACATGCGGGCGAACAGCTTCAACTGGTACCTGCAGGAGGCAGTGCGTCAGAGAACAGCAGTCGGGGCCAGGGCAGGGGCGGCAGGCTCAGCCCCGGTGAGGACTGCGCGGAGGACCCACAGCTGACAGAGAGGACATCTCTCCCCGCCTGGTCAGCTAGGACAGGAAGGGGTGGCTGGGAGAGGAAGAACCCGCTCTGGGTGGCACCAAGCCCCTTCCTCCCCTGCACACTCTGTCACTTTCTCAGGGTCCTGGAACCAGGTCACCCTGTGTGCGAACCAGGGCTCAACCCTGAAACCGCCAGACTCTCTGCTTGTTCCCAGCGTTGCAGGGACAGTGGCACTCACTCCCAGGGGTGTGTGAGTGACGCAGTAAGGGTATGAGGGACAATGCTACCAACTTCCCAGGTGTGAGTGTGGGTGACGCAGGATCCCCAACAGGGCCCCAGCACAGCTCTGGTTAGCAGGAGCCTTCTGTGCAACCGTGTAACACGTCTGGGCCAGGCTCGCACCTATAATCCCAGCCCGAGGACGGAGAGGCAAGATCACCAAGATCAAGGCCAGCCTGGCTAAAGAGCCTCTGTCTCAAAAACAAAAGAGCCAGGCAGTGGCAGCGCATGCCTTTAATCCCAGCACTCAGGAGGCAGAGGTAGGCGGATCTCTGTGAGTTTGAGGCCAGCCTGGTCTACAAAGCGAGTTCCAGGACAGCCAGGGAAACCCTGTCTTGAAAAACAAAAACCCAAACAAAACAAACTAAAATACAGGCCAGATGGGATGACTCATGCAGAGGCAGGAGGACTACCATGAGTTAGAGCGTAGTCCGGTCTACTGAGACCTTGTCTCAAAAAAAAAAAATAAGGAACGGGAGAGATGGCTCAACGGTTAAGAGCACAGACTACTCTTCCAGAGGTCCTGAGTTCAATTCCCAGCACCTCTGTGGTGGCTCACAACCGTCTGTAACTCCAGTCCGGGGGCCTCAGTGCCCTCTTATGGCCTCTACAGACACCAGGCAAGCACACGGTGCACAGACACGCAAACGGGTAAAACCTCCACACAGCAAAAATGAAATAAAAAATAGTCAGGAGCTGGTCAGACGCTGCCAAGCCTGAAGACCTGAGTTCAAGCCTCAGGAACCACACTGTGGAAGGAATCAACCCTCAGGGCCATGATGCATGATGCTATGTCCACACAGATATACACAGAAGGAATCAGCCCTGAGAGCCGTGACACATGTATGGCCACACAGACACACGCACACACACTAAAAACATGATACAAAAATTCAATAACGAAATAAGTAGGCCAGTGAAAGCCCAGACTGTCCAG